GGGGGGGGGAGGGGAGGCTGCAACGCTACGCACACATTTGCAAGCTTGCAAGCACCATTTGTACACAGCCACGACGATAGCTGCCACATGCTGCCAACGCGCCCACATCCTCCGCTCTGCATCGCTCCCTGTCCCCCCGCTCCACACGCACACTCTCACTGCCCTCAACATCCAAACACATGCAAGATCTTGGCCCAAAAACCAACACGTTCCGCCGCCAAGCCAGACCCATGTGCCGCTTTATTCGACCATAGCAAACTCGAGCCAAGCCAACCCCTCCCCTTGCTAACGGGACGGCCCCCTGCCCCTCCTCACTACGCTCACCCTCGCCCCCCCCCCAGTGGCCGGCGGCGCTTCACCCATGACCTCACAGGGCAAACGGCCTGCTCGAATCGAAGGTGGGTGCGCCCTCGCTGGCACACAGCCCCGCTGCAAGCCGGCCGCGGGCAACCCCTCAGCCAGCCGCGCGCCGCCCTGCGACCGGGGCCCCGCTCGCGCGCCTGAAGCCCAGCTCATCCCCTGCCGACCCAGCTGCTCGTGTCTGCCTGCGAGCCATGCTGGACTTGCTCCGCGCAGCAGCGGCGGCGCGCCCGCTCTCGCGCCGCGACGGGCCGCGCGCGCTCCAACGGGCACCCGATGCACGCTGATCCCTCGCCCCACGCGGTTGCTCTGCCCGCACCTCGCAGGCGGCTCAATTAGCGGCGCTGCAGCTGATTTGGCGGCCGACGGGAGGCGCTGTGATGTGCGGCGTTTTGAAGTGCCGCAGCCCCCGCGCCTCTCAGCCCCGTGCCCAATGTGCTGCATCGCGCATCTGCCCACCCCTTACAGAACGAGTAATTTGCATAAATAATTCCCAGCAGTTGCACATTTTGCGCGCGCTTTGCGGTGCATCTCATCTCCCTCTCTTGCACGAATCTCTCAGCAGGTTGGCGCTTCCACGTTGGTTCCAGCGCCGCAGCGCGCAGAGCCCGACGCGAGCGCCGGGGCCGGCACGCGCGCTGCCTGGCCGCCCGGCGGCCTCTGTCGCGCCCGGCTGCAATTAGTCCTTACGCCTGCCCTTGCCTTATGAACGACCCGGAGGTGTTTTCAGGCCTTTCGATCGGGCCGCCTGTGACTTGGGTGATATGTTCTGTGCTGTGTTGCTTCTTTCACACCTTCTTGAGTTGTCACCCGTCAACCTGCTGCAGGGGCCACCCTGCAAGCCGGCGTCTGCGCTTGCACCTGCCACCACCATGCACACATGGCGGCTGGGGCGGTCTCCGCAGGGGCCACCCGCCCGCTGGGTGCAATGGGCAGACGTCATCCCCATGTCATAATTTGTAATTATAACCTGATTGGCTCAGGGTGTGCGCACAGTCTTCTGGGTTTGCGGCAAGGACTGGTGAGTGATGATGGTGATGGAAAGGGTTTCAGAGCCGACAGGCTTGAGCTTGAGAGTCGAGATGGGGCCAAAACAAGTAGGTCGTTCAGCCGCAGGCGCCCTCTGCTGCAAACCGCGCACGAGCCTCTGACCCCGCCCCAGCCCAGCAGTGGGGGCCCGCAGCGGAGCCGCCCTGGTTCCCGGCGGCTCCTCCCCCCATCTTGATTTTTGCGGCGCGCGCCCCACCCTGTGTTGGCCACGACCAGGCGGCTGGGACAGGAAGCAAAGCTGGGCAGCCCTGGCCGCGCAGGGCCGTCTCAAACCAGTGCACCAGACAGCATGCAACAATGCACACGCCGTCACCCAGTGTGTTGCCCATGGCTGCGGATGATGCTCCCTCCATTTCAATTGCCAGCCGACAAACGCCCACGGTGAAGGCAAGCCACTGCGATGAGTGCTCGGGTATGACTCCTGCGCTGACCGCTTTTCTACTGCTCAGCACTGCGCTCCCCACTCCCCGACCCCGTTTCATTCCTGGAACCCTTGTCTACCTAACTTTGACAGTCCCGCCTGGGGGCCGCCGCTGACGTGTTTGCCGTGGCCGCCAGCCCCCCCCCGCCTGCCGGAGGGACCGCGCCTGTGCGCACCCGAGCACCACCCATGATGCGCCGCGGGACGAGAGCCAGGGTGTGAGACAGGGCACCGTTACACGGCACCCAAAGTGGGTTCAAGAGCTGCCACCAAACACGCGGACCCCGTGAGGCCTTGGCCGCGCTCTTGAATGCTGCGGGCGCAGCCCCGGCGGTTGAAAAGCATGCTAGGGGTGGCCTGCATGGGCCCGCGTTTCTGCAACGCGCCATGGCCATGTGTGAGTGCGTGATTGTGTGTGGAGCTGGGGGGTGGCGCAAGGTGCGGGTCACTGTAAGTCGGCGACAGCGCCACAAGGCTAAAGCTGCGGGAGGGCCCAGTGCAGCCGACGTGCACACAGGGGCGCTCAATGAAGTTGTGTGGAAAAAGCAATTGAAGTGCGCGGGCGGCATCAAAGCGGCCCTGCAGGCCCGAAAGAACGCGCCAGCGGCCGGAATCCGTGCGCGGGCGGCGCGCGTGAACGCACGCGCAGCCGCCGTCGCGGGGGCCCTCGGCGTGTGCCGGCGCGTATGAGAGACAACGGCAAACGAACCGCGGTGCTTTGCGCAAATCCTGTTTGGGCGTGCAGCCCTCGACACTCGCAAAGAAGTCACTTGTAAAAGGACGAAGCACGCATTACGGGCCCCCTCTCTGCCGCACAAGTGCGCCTGCGGCCAGCAACGGGCAGAGGGGCCGCCGCGCAGGTGCTCCCGCAAAGAAGTGGAAGAGAGCGGGGCACGCAGCATTTGGCGGCAGAGTGCGCTCGGACCGAAAAGGGGCAGAAGCCGAGTTGGTATTTCCAGGCGCGCATAGGACCATCTTTGGCGGCGGGGCAGCCAGGGCTGCGCCACGGCGAGGCGACCGAAGTCGTGCGCCCAGCCGCCTGATCGCAGGACCGCCGCCACCGCGCGTTGTTGCCATGTGAGCTGGCGCAGCCGCCGCGGCAGTGCTGCATTCTGTCGGCGCTGCAGCCACAGCGGTCAGCAACCGGCCGGAAAATCCCACTGCAGTGTTTCATTTGCTGTACAGCCCGCGATTCCGCTGTGCCTGGAAAAAAACTGTGGCCCGTGCGAGCACCGCGCACGAGCCCTGGCAGCACGCTGCTGCGGCGCGCCGCGCGCGCCTCCGAGCGGCGGCCTCACCCTCCAGGCCTGCCCCACCCCCCATAAGGGGGGTACGGGTATGTGTACTGAGGCACTGGCCCGGCCGACGCGCTGGCGCTCGCGTACACCGATGTGTCCGTGATGGGGCCGTTCATGTAGGTGCGCGACTGATACCCATACACCGCTTGCACAGGGCGGCCGCTGCCGTTTGCGCTCGCGCCCAGGCCGCCGCCGCCGCTGAATGGCCCGCCACGGCCACTATTATCTCCACCAGGTCCTCCTCCCACTGCTGAGCCACTACGGCCAGAGGTCGCGACAGGCGCTCGAGGCACGGGCATGCCACCGCGGGGGTCCCGGTTCGTCGTGGCGAACATTTCGGGGCCAAAGACACCGTTCACGCCAAGGAGCCACCGGCCAGGTCGTGCCCCAGGCCACGGCGCTGCTGCTGTGGTCGAACAGAGAGCACCGGCCCCGCCACCGCGCAGAAGTCTCCCTGCACTGCATCCGGCCACCAGCAATAAAACTAGCGCTAATCTGACGCATTCTGACCCACGGCGCCCCATGAGGGCGCCGCTGGCGTAACCACGCTGACCTTCAATGATCGTGCACAGGTGGGCCACCACGGTGAAGGCGGCACGCAGAGGTATCTGCACAGGGTTGCATTATAAATGGTGAGCTGCACATGCCCTGCGCCCCGTCCAAAACCGAGAAGCACGCGAGCTTGTCTCACCCGGGCACGGGTGCCCCCCGTCATTTGGAGCTGCTACCAGCAGTGCCGTCCACCTTCATTTTGGTCCTCCCACATGCACTGTAGCAGTTCGCATAGAGGAACGCACACGCGGCACACACGGCTGCACCTAATCGCGTCGCCGATCAGCTGCCATTGCTCAAGTACGATGCAGAGCGCGGGCGTCGACGTGCACGGCGGCCCGGACGTGCACACCGGTAGTCTTCTTCGCAGTTCTGCTGCCCCTGTGTAGTGCCGAAAACCGCCCCCAAACGCACGCGCGTGCCGGCGCCCGCGACACACCCGCGCGGGTGTGTTCACCAGAAGGTGGGCGGACCTGGAGGAACCTGCGCGCAGCTGCCCGACCCGGCCCCCCCTCCGCTCCCCGGCCGCGCGCCAAACCGCACCCGAGGATTACATCGCCCCGCACGGCGCGGGCCCTACGTCTTGCCCGCGAAATGGAACTCCCGATCATGGCTCGCCCTCAGATCTGCGAGCGCGGCGCGCCGCGCCGCGCCCGCGGGGCCGCCGCCGACGACCGCATGCACGTGCTGCAACTCCGCCGCCCCGACTGCCCCAAACAGCGCGTGCGCGCCGCGCCGCAGCGCGGCGGCGGCCGCGTCGGGGCCCCCGCGGCCGGCGGGGGCCGCCGCGGCGGACGCGACCACGTAGTCGGCGAGCAGCAGGTGGCAGTAGCTACCCAGCAGCTGCCGTTGATCCGATACCGCCTGGTACATGCGCGCCAGCTGCTCCGAGCAGTACAAGCGGTGCGCCCCGCCGCCGCCGCCACCGCCGCTAACGGCCACGCGCAGCGCCGCCCGGCAGGCCGCCACCACCGGCGCCATGATCCGCCGCATCTCCCGCGTCCGGTGGCGCAGCAGCGACGCCAGCAGGCCGCATGCGGCGCCCGCGGCGGCGCCCGCCGCCTCACCGGGCGCGGCGTCGGCGCCGGCGCTGGCGTGGGCGAGCGCCGCCGCAGCGGCCTGCGCCACGGACGCGACCGCCGCCGCATGCAGCGGAAACGACCCCTCCCTCCCCACCACCGACTCCAAACACCTCGACACCCACGCTGCGGCCGCGAGGCGCCCAACTTCGCCCGCCCCTTCGCCACCGCCGCCGCCGCCGCTGCAACCTGAAACCCCCGCGGCCGGCCCCGCTGCCGGCCCCGGCGCCGCGGCCAGGCGTGCGAGCGCGGCCGAGAGTGCAGAGGTGTAGGCGGGCGCGTGGTGCGAGAGCTGCCTCAGAGGCTGGCTGCCTTGGGTGGACTCCAGGACAACCAACAATGCCTGTTTTGCGTTGAGTGGCGGCACTATGAGTTGGTTTTGTGATTGCTTCCATGATGGCGAAGGGACGCCGCGGTTGTGGGGCTGCTGGGCGTGCGGCGCGTTGGGGTTGGGGGGCGAACACGGACGGGCGCGTGGGATGGCGGCTACTGCAGCCACGCCGGGGCGCTCCGCAGGGCCGCCGCCGTTTGGAAAATCAGAAGAGCATGCAGGAAGCGCATGGCCGCGGGTTCCGCTCCGCTCCGCCCCTGCCATTCGCCCCATTCGCCCCTTGCCCACAGCGGTGCCACCCGGAGCAGCGAAATCAGCACGTGCCTGCAGCGGTCCCATCAGCGCCCCCGCGTCCGCCGCCGCCGACAGGCGCCGCTCCATGAGTGGGTGCATCTCCAGCAGGTGGTGGCGCCGCGCCGCGCCGACGGCGCTCCTCAGGCCGATTAGCAGCCCCTGGCGCAGCAGCGCCGTGCCGCCCCCGCCCCCGCCGCCGCCGCCGCCGCCGCCTCTGCCGAGGACCTCCTCGAAGAGCAACGCGGCCGGGGCTGCGGGGAGGGGCGCGGCGCGGCTGGCGCCGCCGCAACCGCCGTCCCAACCGCTGCTCCAACCGTCCCAACCGCCGGCCGACGCGAGGGCTGAGAGGTCGTCGAGCTCCCAATGGCCGGGCGGCAGGCGCGGCCAGATGGGTGGCGGCGCCAGGCGCTGCAGCAGCTGAATGTAGCAGTCCAGCGCGAAAACAAACCCGTCTGACTCAGCAGCCTCAGCTGCCGCCTGCTCGTTGCTGCTGCTGCTGCCGCCGGGACCCGTAATCAGGGCTAGAGCGCCCTGCTCGATAAACGCCACCAGCGGCAGGCCGCATGCCGCGGCGAGCGCGTCGGGGGTTCCGTTGCTGCCGCTCCTGCCGCTGCCGCTGCCGGCGCCGAGCTCGCTCGGCAGCAGCAGCAGCGCCACAGCGGAGCGCGTGAGGCGGCGCAGGCTGGCTGGGCACAAGGCTCCGTCGACTGCTGCTCCTGCTGCTGCTCCTGCTGCTGCTCCTGCTGCTGCTTCTGCTGCTGTGCCATCGCTGGCGCCATTGATGGCGCCGCCCCTTTTTCGCCGCTGCCGCCGCCGCTCGTCCCCGTGCAGCCGCAACTGGCTTGCGAGGGCGCCGAAAAGATGCGACGCAGCGAGGAGCGCCACAGCGCGGCCGCCGGCCGCGATCGGGCCGGGGGCCTGCGCTTCTGAGCGCGTGTCGAGGGGGGCGCCCAAGAGGGCGCAGAGCGGCGCGAGCGCGCCGCAGCAGCTGGCGACGACAGCGGCGGCCGCGGCGGGCGGGGCTGCGGGGCTGGCGGCCAGGGCGGCGCGCGCCAGCGCCGCGGGCGGCAAAACGCCCGCCGCCGCTGCTGCGGCGGCGGCGCTGCCAACGCCGTCTGCGCTATTGATAGCAGCTGCAAGTGCGGCGGCCGCCTGGTCTAGCTGAGAGCGCGCCAAGTCGGCCAGCGCCGCCGCGCGTGCGCTGGAGGCGCCGCTGCTGAGGCCCTCCCTGACGGCCCCCACGTCATCACTGTCACCGTCGCCCGCGGCCGAGGCGGCCGCCGCCGCGAGCTGCCAAGCAGCCCCGCCGGCTGCGGCCGCGGCCAGCGCGCCGTCTGCGCCAAAGACCTCGGAGGCGAGCTGCGTGCAGGCCGCAAGCCACTCCGCAAACGACATGCTATCCGACCCATGCGCGTGCCCTGCGGTTTCCAGGCATGACATAAGCTCAGGCATGCCGCCGAGGGCCGCCAACAGGTCGAGCGCAGCAGCCAAGCAGCCAGCCGCAAGTCGCTCCAGCTCGTCGCCGCCGCCCGGCTCGCCGCGCG